AGCCTGTGGGCAGTGCGGCCCTGCTGCCGCCTGCAGAGCGGGCAGGGAGCCGGGCTGGGCCATCTCAGCTGCACGGTTTGTGCTGCTTTGGTCTGGTGGCTGCAGAACCCGATCCCGGTAGGCAGTGTTTACGACCCCGCGTGAAACAGGCCCCTGGCTCACGTGAAGTCAGGGCTGGGGGGATAGACGCTTCCAGGGTCACCCTCTGGATCTTGGCAGATCACACATTTGCAACCACTCCTCCCTGCCCCCCCACCCCTTCCCACACCCTGGAGCCCCGGCCATCACTAGTATCTTCTGTCTGTCTGCAGTTCTGACAGCTGCTGTTTATTGAGATTTTGGGGGTGCTAGCTACTGCCTGAAGGAATTTGGCATATTTATGATGTCACTTAGTTCCGAAACCTAAGCGATTGTTGTTATGACAAAACCCGCCCATTTCACAGATCTGGCTTAGGTCTCAGAGCTGCCAAGCAAGGTGGGGAGGATCTGTCCCCAGGCCTGTGGGACCCCAGGCTCTGGGCTCTCGAAGCCTCACTCAGCACCACCCCCTGCTTCTCTGCTTCTCGTTTGCTGTCTGGAGAGCATCGTGCCAGCAAGTGGAAGAAGCCTGCTTTCATCAGGGTCCGCACGCCCAGCCGTGCGCCAGGCACTGCTGTGGCCAGCAAGTACCAGGATGAGAGCAGCAGCTGCCAGCTCCACTCTGCAGTCCCTCAGGGCCCCTTGGCAAGCCCACCACCCTCATTCATGGGGGCTTCATCCTGACCAAGGCACAGAGATGGAGCACCCAAGCCTGGGCTCCAGTGCCGGTGTGGGCAGCAGTGGGCGAATGGTCTGACTTAGCTTCTCTTGGCATCGATGCCCACACGTAAAAGAGCGGTGGTGACGCAGGCAGAACATCCCTAGACTGCAAGGCTGAAGTCCAGAATGTTCCAGAACTGCTATCTACACCAAAGATACACCATCGTGTATCAGCAGGATGTATCAGCAGGATGCCACACCTGGGGCCTTCCACACAGGCGCCCTAAGAATTCCGTATGAGATTAACTTAGGGGGGACCGGTGCTGTGGCATAGCGGGTAAAGCCGCCACCTGCAGTGCCGGCATCCCATACGGGCGCCGGTTCGAGTCCCAGCTGCTCCACTTCCAATCCAGCTCCCTGCTATGTCCTGGGAAAGCAGCAGAAGATGGCCCAAGTCCTTGGGCCCCTGCACCCACGTGGGAGACCTGGAAGAAGCTCCAGGCTCCTGGCTTCAGATCGGCACAGCTCCGACCATTGCAGCCATTTGGCGAGTGAATCTCGTTTGGAAGACTTGTCTCTCTCTCTGCCTCTGCCTCTGGTACTTGCCTTTCAAATAAATAAACCTGGAAAAAAGAGATTACTTTCAGGTATGTATGTAAGGTATACATGAAACAGAAATGAACTTCATGTTTACACTTGGATCCCAAAGATCATTATGTACCTGCAAATATTCCAAAATCCAAACAACCCCAGATCTGAAATGCCTCTGGTGCCAAGCACTTAAGATCAGATGCCGAACTGGAGCTGGGGTTGCATCTGGGGCTGCTGTGGGGGTTGGGCGTGACACGCTGTGCGTCCTGCGTCTGCAAGAAACCCATGTGCAGGCAGACAGAGGCCTTTTCTTGCTTGGAAAATGGCCTTAAAATGAAATCCCGGGGCTTGAGTGCCGGTATCGAAGCATCTGAACATTTCGTGATGTGGAATTTTATTGCCACCCTGATTTCCAGGAAAGTGAATTTCCTGTCTGTGATGTGTGTGCAGGTTGGTGGCACCCAACTCCCGGCAGCAGTGTTTTTTTTTTTTTTTATAAATATTTTTATTTATTCATTTGAAAGAGTTACACAGAAAGAGGAGAGACAGAGAGGAGAGGTCTTCCGTTGTCCGATGGTTCACTCCCCAGTTGGCCACAATGGCCAGAGCTGTGCTGATTCTAAGCCAGGAGCCAGGAGCTTCTTCTGTGTCTCCCATGCGGGTGCAGGGGCCCAAGCACTTGGGCCATCCTCCACTGCTTTCCCAGGCCACAGCAGAGAGCTGGACTAGAAGTGGAGCAGCCGGGACTTGAACCAGCACCCATATGGGATGCTGGTACTGGAGGTGGCTGCTTTACCCACTGTGCCACAGCGCCGGCCCTGAGCAGTGTTTGTGCTTGTAGCTGCGGTTTTTGGTTACTGTGTCAGCCATAAGATGCCACGCCATTGTTGCTTGAGCAGCCATTTCTTAGGAACCAGTGAGGCTAACCCTGCTCCTCCTGTGTGTCTCTTGGCCTTTGGGTCTCCGTGTTTTGCTTCTTTACAGGAGATTTTTGGACACTTGCTTAGCAGCTCATTTGTTGCATCGTCTCGGTCAGCTTCCCTCTGGGTTTTTTATTTATTTATTTTTTATTTTTTGACAGGCAGAGTGGACAGTGAGAGAGAGAGAGACAGAGAGAAAGGTCTTCCTTTTGCCATTGGTTCACCCTCCAATGGCCGCCGTGGCCAGCGCGCTACAGCTGGAGCACCGCGCTGATCCAATGGCAGGAGCCAGGTGCTTTTCCTGGTCTCCCATGGGGTGCAGGGCCCAAGCACCTGGGCCATCCTCCACTGCACTCCCAGGCCACAGCAGAGGGCTGGCCTGGAAGAGGGGCAACCGGGACAGAATCCGGCGCCCTGATCGGGACTAGAACCCAGTGTGCCGGCGCCGTAAGGCGGAGGATTAGCCTAGTGAGTCGCGGCGCCGGCCCCCTCTGGGTTTTGCTCCTGTTGTTTCTCACTGAGCTTCCGTGAAAGGTGGCGGAAGGGCTGTGCCTCAGGGGGCGCCTCTGTGACACTGCCCCAGCCTTTGCCCCCTCGGGGAGTGGGCTGACGATGGTGGCAGTCCCGACACTACTGTAAGGGGCCTTAGGGTCTTTGTCTCATTTAATTATTGTGAATTTATGCACGTGTCCACTTCCTGTCACTGTTAGGGAATCTCTGAGACAGGTTCCCTCAGCTCCCGGTTCTGCAGGCTGGGTGGCACAGGCCAGCATCAGCCGGGCCGAGGGGACGTGCAAGACGGGGAGGGGTCTCCTGTGGTGAGGCAGGGAAACAATGACAGGGCAAGGGCTTTTTCTTTTGGAGAGATTTTATTTGTCTATTAGGAAGGCAGAGTGACTGAGAGAAGAGACAGAGTCCTTCCATCCACTGGCTGAGGCCAGGCCAGGCTGAAGGCGCTGTGGGGGTCTCCACTCTCCAGGTGGGTGACGGGCAAGGGTGCCTGTGGCGGCGCAGCCCTGGGGAGACGGGTGAAGAGTGAGTGACCATCACCTCTGGCCTTTCCTCAAGGGCCCTGTGGCCGGGAACTGGGGGCTGAAGCCACCCACAGCCACCCGGGGATCCAGCTGTGGGCAGGGCTGCCTCCATCCCTCTTGATGCGCTGCCCTGCCGCCTTGGCCCCCAGGGGTGCGTGTCTGTATGTGATGTGTGTGGCAAGTGTGGATATGCTTGATGAGTGTTCGCTGTGCATGTTCCATGTGTGATACATGTATGTGCATATATGACGAGGATAAGTGTCTATATGATTGTGTGGTCAGTATGTGATGGGTGTATGTGTGATGTGTATCATATGGTAAGTATGGATATGTGATGAGTATGTGATGTGTATGCTACATGTGTGGTGTGTGTATGTGCCTGTATGATGTGGATGATAAGCATGTGATATGATTTGATTGTGTGATAAGTATGTGCTGTGTGTATGTGTGAAGTGAATGGTAAGTATGATGTGTGTGACGAGTGTGGCAAGTGATGTGTATATTGCGTGTGTGATGTGGAAGATATGTATGTGATGTGTGTGTTGCACGGGTGCACAGTGTGTGTGTAATGAGATTGTGCAGAGCCGGTCATGGGAGAAGAGGGTCAGGAGGTGGGCGGGGCCTAGGGAGTAACTCCCGTCAGCTTCCGCTCTGTGCTCTCACACCTGGGTCCTCAGCGAGAGTCCTCTCTCCCTGGGGGGGCTCACCCCATTCAGGAGCAAGGCTGGCCCTGCACAGCAGCGGAGCCGAGCCCGTGCCAACGTGGGCAGGGCTGTACTGACAAGAGGAACGCGTATGCAGCTCCTGGCCCGCCCCGAGCCGTGAGATCCCGTCTGGGCTCCCCGCGCCCTGCGCCGGGCAGTGCACAGTCGCTTCCCCGTCGGTCACACACCGTCCCTCGCCCCACAGGCTGCCCTGGCCACCACGGGGCAGGGGCCAGCAGTGGAAGGCACAGGCACCCTGGCTCCCCAGAGCCTACAGCACATTTCTGTCAGTGTGCACGGCAGTACTCTCCTGCTGGGGGAGGCTGGAGAACGTCCCTCCTGAGATGTCCCTGCTGATCTGTGGTTGGGGACAAGTCGTGGGACAGCTGAGCCCGTGCCCTGTGAATAGAAAGCTAAGGAGAGGGCAGGCGGTTGACTCAGTGCCTGAGATGCTGTTGACGCCTGCATCCGCTCTTGGGGCACTGGGCGCCAGTCCCAGCTCCACCCCGATTCCTTCCCCTGGGAGGCAGCAGGTGACGCTCAAGTACTTGAGTCCCTGCCACCCACCTGGGAGACCTGGACTGAGTCCTGGCTCCTGGCTTCAAGCTGGCCCAGTCCTGGATGTTGCGGGCATTTGGGAAGTAGACAAGTGCATGGAATCTCTCTCTTTCTCTCTCTTTCTGCATTTTGAATACATTTTTAAAAAACCAGCACCGCGGCTCACTAGGCTAATCCTCCACCTTGCGGCGCCGGCACACCGGGTTCTAGTCCCGGTCGGGGCGCCGGATTCTGTCTCAGTTGCCCCTCTCCCAGGCCAACTCTCTGTTGTGGCCAGGGGGTGCAGTGGAGGATGGCCCAGGTGCTTGGTCCCTGCACCCCATGGGAGACCAGGAGAAGCACCTGGCTCCTGCCATCGGATCAGCGTGGTGCGCCGGCCACAGCAGCCATTTGGGGGGGTGAACCAATGGAAGGAAGACCTTTCTCTCACTAACTCTGTCAAAAAAAACAAAAACAAAAAAAAAAAAAAAACCTTACAGGAAATGAGGCATGCTTCCAGGATAGCCGGAAAGCAACAAGCAGCCTATAGAACACAAGCCAACATTTATTGAGTATCGATTATGCACCAGGCGCTGTGCTAAGCACTTTAATCTCAGACGCTACTGAGATGGCTGCTGTTCCTTATCTGTCATCTAGGCGGGGAAGCCGAGGCCACGCGGGGTCACATGCTGATTCGCCTGCAGTTACACGGCAGGGAAATGGCAGAGCTGGGGGTCAGTGGAAGCACCCCGACCCCGCCACCAAGATCGAGGACGGAGTGACAACTGAACCGTGGTTCATTCTTGTATCTCATCCAGCTCGGGGGTCCTGGGGGAGCCCCAACACCCAGAGCTGTGCCCAGTCGCGAGGGCCTCTGGGGCCTCCAGGGGTGACGGCTGCATGGCGTGGGGCTCTCGGCACAGGGTGCCAAGGGCCTCCAGGAAGAGCCTCCTGAAAGAGGGGGACATGACGTTGTACAGGACGGGGGTCACCGCCGAGCTCACGTAGAAGAGCGTGTTGGTCACCATGTAGAAGTAGTGATAGAAATCGTGGAGCGCGCTGGAAGAGAAACCAGGCCTGGTTAGGGAAGCCGTGGCCGCCTCACAGTGCCCCTCCCCTTCCTGCTGGGCGGGGGAGGCCAGCGCCCCACTGCAGGGGTCTCCTCACCGCCGCCGCCCTGAGCTGATGGCTCTACCCTGCGCACTTCCCCAGGCACCTGCTGAAGCGCGGGGCCATCGTCTAGCCCAGGGGGATGCTGGGACCCCTGTGCGGCTGGGTGTGGCCAGGGAGATGCGGCCTGACTCCCTGTGGCTAAGCGGAAGGGCTTGGCTGCGCCCACGTGGGTGCTGGGTGCTGGGTGCTGGGGGCTCCCGCAGAGGAGGTCCCTGTGCACCCAGCTGTATCCCTGGAGCTACTCCCTGTTTTCCAGGGTGTTTGACTTCCAGCTGCGCCATCGAAAGGGGGTGCACGTCTCGGTCTCTGTCCAAGGGGCCTTTCTTAGCTCAGGGAAGCACAGCTCCAGTCTTCCCGCGTCTCCTGGTCCCTGCCCGGCCCTGGAGACCGCTCTCCAGCCTGTGGTCAGGGTGCCAGAGCCCTGCCCTCCACCTCCCAGATCAGAAAATGCCCTCCCCACCTGCAGATGAAGGGTTCTGAGGGCACAGACTGGGCGTGGCCAGCTGCGACGCCAGCCACAGGCCCAGAGGACTCGGCAGCCTGGGTTCACTCTGGAGAGCGAGGGAGGCCCCGGCGCAGCCCAACGGGCCCCTCTTGCTGTGCAGGGTGCTTCTGCCCACTTACTCGGTCCACCTGTCCTCCGTGGTATAGCAGTACATGAGCCTGCGGGCGTGGTACGGCAGCCAGCAGATGACATACACGGCCACGATGGCTCCTGCAGGACAGGTGGAGAGAGAGGAGTCACGTCAGACAGAAAGCAATGCATTCTCAGTCGCACCGTCTCTAAGGGGAGACCCCGAGGACAGGGGCACTCCCCTGGGGTTTGTCCCTGGAGCCAGAGTTGGCAGGGAACTCTGGGATGGCCTACACATCCCTATCTGAGTCTGCTCTCAAGACTGGCACCGTCCCAGCCTCCAGGTGTCTGCTTCAACTACGACTCTTTCCTACCCTCTTCCTGATTGTGAAGGCACCGCTGTCCATTCTGCACTCAAGCCCGAAGCCAGAGAAGTCTGTTTCCCTTCCCCCAACATGAGCAGTCTAGGAAGGAGTTTCTCTTTAGGCCTCCCCTCCCCCGCCTCCCCATCGCACCCCAGGAGGCCCGAGGCCGCCTTCCCACGGGACTGAGACAGCCACCCCCTAACGTCCACCCCTTCCTCTCCTGCTCTCGCCCTGACCCAACTGGCAAACCCATGCTCTGGCCCGGCATGGCCCCTGCAGGAGCCCCATCAACTCAACCCCGTCCTGATGGAGACGCAGGCTCTCGGGCCCGCCTCGGCCTACTCAGTCAGACTCTGAGGGATGGGGCCCAGCGTCTGTGCTTCCTGATTCGCGGGGTCTTTCTTACACACTATTTACCCCCATCCTCCAAAGGGCTGCCCGGGCAATGGGTCTTGGAAATAAATCTCAAAAGAAATAATCAATATAGATCAATAGATAGGCATCGATGTAATCAGTATAAGTCAAAACACACTACGTCCCAGTCCTGGACACTGATGCTTTCAATCACTGGCCTGGGTCCCTTACAAGGCCACACTGTCCCAGGTACTTACAAAAAGTAAGCAGACAGAACAACGCTGTAGCAGGGGACGTGGGGAGCTGGAGGGGAACTGGATTCGGGGACCCAGCGGGTCTGCAGGCCTTAACCACACCTGCTCACATCAGTGCGCCTGCGCAGCCAGGCTTGCCGAACAGTGGCCTGGCTCTGCCTGTGTGTGTGTGTGTGTGTGCGTGCCTGCGTGTGCATGCGTGCGTGCACGAGCCCTGGAGCAGACCAGGGTTTCCTGTGCAGAATTCCAGCTCCTTCCCTCCCCACCGAGCCTTCCAGGAAGTCTGCTGGAGATTGCATAGCTCTCTTTGGGCAGAGGGAGAGGTGGCCTGCAGAGAGGTAGCAGTGTGCTGAGGTCACCTGGCCCCCAGGCCGTGTCACTGACGACTTAACTGAGAACCCGGGCGCTGCGCTGGAGGCTGCGGACCCGGCTGGAGTCCCTGTGTCGCAGCAGGGCGTGGTGGCCCCCCAGGGAGAGCGTCTTCCTCCAAGCCATGAAGCCCAGGAGTCCCTCCTCACTGAGCAGCTCCAGGTGGCTGGGGGTGAAGCTGCCTGCGGCGGAAGCCGACGGCACCTGGGAGTAGAGGGCCACCAGGTGGTTCATGGTGACCCCGTTCAGGAAGGCCGTTAGTGCCAAGGGCAGCACGAAGGACACCAGCACGTTCACCTGCGGAGGAAGACCAAGGGCCGGGGACTCTGGTCACAGACTGGCTCAGCAGAAAGGGGAGGGGAGAGAAGGTTAGACGCCAGCTGAGGGGTGGGCCCCGGCACAGGCAGCACTATGCTGCCTGGGACACACATCCCACGGTGGAGTGCCTGGCTGCCGGTCCTGACCGTGCTCTCTGAACCAGCTTCTCACTAACGTGTGCCCCGGGAGGCAGCAGGCGACGGCTCCAGTACCACCCCTGCCATCCACATGGGGGACCTGGGTTGAATTCCTGGCTCCCAGCCTTGCCCGGCCCCAGTTGCTCCAGGCACTTGGAAAGTGAGCCAGTGGGTGGGAGATTTCTATCCATCTGTCTGTCTGTCTCTTTCTGTGTTTTTCTGCCTTTCACAAAAAAGAAGAGCAAAATAATCCCAATTTGAGTCTGGTTATTTGAACATAAAATGTATGCTTCAAGCTAACAGCATTTTTGCACATACTCTTTTCGGAATAAGGTTGTGACCGTGAGAGATTTTACTATCAATGTATCAAGCTCGGACAAGGAATTTGACAAGCTGTGGAACGTCTCACGTGGGAAGTGGCGCCTCCGAGAACCAGGGATCCTGCCCAGCCAGTTCTGAGAGCGTCCTCCTCATAGAGACCAGAGGACGCCCCTTCCCAGGCTACGGGGGGTGTTTTCTTCTGGGTCTGCGTGTTTCCCACGTTCTTGTCGAAGCTCTGAGATCCTGCTTTATTAGATCTGCCCGGCTCTCCACAACGTGTTTTAAGATGTAGCCCTGGCTCCGACATCAGTGGCCCTGCAGATACACACCCTGTAGCCCTGCAGCAGCAGCTGTGGGCTGGTGTCTCGCTCCAGCACGTGGCTGAGACGGAGAATGCCACGCCCACCGGCTTCACGTATGCCCCAGCTGCAGAAATGAGGGACACGACCAGGCAGAGCCCGTGTCAGCTCCTCTCTGCTGGGCACCTCCACTCATGATGAGAACACTGGCAAGTCCCTGTTAGCACAGTTAGCACCCAGCAGTGCTGCCTGGGCGGGATCTGCTGTGACAAGGATGCACTGTGTCCAGGTGAGTGAGCTGGCTTTTGTTTGCACTAGACGCTCTGTGACACTTGGGCACACAGATGCCACCCTCCCTGTCAGCGTGAGACACACACTCCCCTTCAACTCGCCAGGCTGCCATGTCTCCTCCCAGCTCCACAGGCACCACCCTAAGTGCTTCGGCCTCCTTTGCATCCTCCTGTTCGAACAGGTCCACTGTCTGGACAGCTCCTGTTTAAAGCCACAGTGCACTGCCACAGCCTCTGCGACCAGGGGGCCAGAGCAGGGGACCATGGGAAGGCACTGGGGCAGTAGCCCTGGGGCTCCGCTGAGTCCACCCCATAGCAACAGGAGCAGGTGGACAGCAGAAAGGACAGTGCCCCTTGGAAGCACCCCGGCACCATGGGACAGTGGGCAAGGAGGCGAGGGGAGCTTTCCCTGGCAAAGGGAGATGGGGATGGCTTGCGGGCTCCTTCCAGCCACAGCCCAGGATGCCACGGGGACAGCCACTCTGGGCTTCCACGTGGCCACCACACGCTCATGTCCTCACACTCACATAGCAATATTGAATGTGTTCAAATGCACATGTATAACTTTGATGGGAAAGTAAAACATCTGAAAAAGTAAATCTTAAAAAAAAAAGGCAAAAGAAATAAACAGCAGACATAGGAAATGGAGCTGAGTTAGCCAGGGAAGACTGGGGGTGGGCGTGGGGGAGGGGGTTGGAGGGGACACTTGGCATGTCACCTGGGGTGCGGTACTGCTCTGCACGTCACCTCAGGCAGAGCCCTGATTTTGCACCGCTGTGAGCATGACTGCTCTGGGCCAGGAAGACGAAGGGGAACCGCTGTGGAGGACAGGCTGGGCCCTGGGCACTGTCACGTCTTCAGTGACCAACCGGGAGGCTGAGCCCGTGGTCTCACGGGACAAGCTCTGCACAGACGCCCCAGGTCCTTCTCTGAGTCAGCGAGGGGCATCGGAGAGGGGGACACCCCCCAGGCTTCCCCCACATCTTTACCCCCAGCCCCTATTCTGGTCGAAACCGCTCCTGTGGTATCTCTTTGACTTACAACAAGAAAAGTCCCAACTAAACTCTCCAGCTCAGTGAATTCTTTAGTTGCAGAAATAGGCCATACACTTGTAAGTGCCAATTTCTATGTAAAGTAAACCAATTACAAAGAAACAAACCCTCAGGTACTTGGCCCCCTGGTCCTTCCCCTCCATGCCTGGTCTACCCACAACCCCCACATCCCTGGGGGGACCCCAGGCCCACGGGAGAGGCAGCTGAGACAGTTGCTCACGGGGGTGTGGGCTGGAGCCTGCAGAGTGGGGCGGGGAGAGGGGTGTCACTCAAACAGATGCAAGAGGACCATGCTGCCCACACAGCCACCACACAGGCACTTCTGCGGGTGCCTCGGTGGGCACGATAGACCCCGGGCAACCTGGAATCTCAGATCATTTAGGCAGCGACAGAGCAAAGCCAGGGAGCGCTGGCTTGTGGGATCCTCAGAATCTCAGAGGTGAGGTTCACTTTCAGGAAATGCATTGCCCAGTGCCAGAAATGCGACCATCGCCTGCTGAGAGAATTCAGAACAGGGGAAGCAGCGATGCGGCTCCTCTCAATGCTCCCCGTGTTGGCTGCTGCCCCCTCCCCGAGTCCCCCTCCCCACTCCCTGCTCCCCTACCTGGATGAAGACCTGCAGCGCGGTGCGGCTCACCAGCACGGTGCACACGCGGGAGGTCGGCTCCAGCGGGCCGCCCGCCGCCCGCAGCTCGTGCTTCTGGCCCACGATGACCGCCATGGGCAGGGAGAAGCCGAGCGAGGCGGCCCAGACGAGCGCCAGCAGGCGGCGGGTGCGGCGCGGCGTCAGCAGGCGGCGGGCGCGCAGCGGCTGGCACACGGCCAGGCAGCGCTCGGCGCTCAGGCTGGCCACGCTCAGCACCGTGGCGTAGGCGCACAGCTCACGCACCAAGTGGTAGGCGCGGCAGCCCAGGTCGCCGAAGGCCCAGGGGTGGTGGAGCCACACCGCGTTGCAGAGCTCCACGGGCGCGCTGACCAGCAGCAACAGCAGCGCGGCCAGCGCCAGGCTGAGCACGTGGTAGCGCAGGCGCCCCGGGCGGCCGGCACGCGCCTTCAGCACTACGTGCACGGACAGCACGTTGCCCGCCGTGCCCAGCACGAAGATGAGTACGTAGAGCCCTGTGAACAGCACCTTGGCCCAGAGGCGCGTGTCCGCGCCCACCAGGGCGTCCAGGCTGAGCCCGGCGCTGGGGCTGGGGCTGGGCCTCGGGGGCCGCTGGCTGCTGGGCTCCATCGGGCTACCGCGGCTTGCGCTCCCTCCCTCTCGCTGCCCGGAGACTGGGCCGGCTGCCCGAAGAGCCAGCGGGCACCTCCTCCTCTCCGGGCACCTCCAGAAGTGGGAGGACCCGCCCCTGAGGGGTGTCCCTGAGCCAGCGCGGGTCAATCCAGCCCGGAGTAGAATGCGGCTCCGCGCCTCTGCACAGGTTTGCTGACCTCTCTGAACCTAGTTTTCCCACTTCAACGTGTTATCCAGCCTGCAGAATGTCTGTGCAGATTAAGTGAGTGAGACTGTGTGAAAGTCCCCAACCCACAGGAGACAAAGGCATGGGGCTTTCGTGGCCTTGGCCGCTGGGCCTCTGTCGCCTGCCCGTGAGGTCCCCGGCCCGCTTGGAAAGAACCAGCTGAAACACACTGCCAGGTTCCTGCTCCAGTGCTGCCCTGGCGGCGTCCAGGGACTTCGCTGTCACTGACGGGCATCTCCTCTCCCGGGCCTTGGAGAATGCCTCCTCGGGAGGAAGCCTGGGTACCTGTTTGACAAAGTGCTGCTGGCCTGTTCGGGCAGCTCCTTAGCACACAGAACTTCAGGGCTCAAAGGCCCTAACATCTCATGCTGAGAACCCCTGGTGTTGGCTGGGGACAGATTTGCAATCAGACCTGGGAGTTCTCCTGTCGCTCCCCCTCTTCGTGGAGGAACGACACAGGACCCTGCCTAGGCTTCCTATCCGAGTCACGGCACCATTATGTCGCTCCCCCTCTTCTCGGAGGAACGACACAGGACCCTGCACTGTTCTTTTGTCTGCTCGGCCCTCCCCGGGTTTGCTGCTGGTTCTTCCCGGGTTGGCTACCGTCCCTTCCACCTCCGTGGAGGGGCGGGCCCCCTGCCACTTTCCCCACTTCCGCAGGGGAGTGGCACACCGCCAGCCGGCTCTCTCGGGGGCTGCTCAGGTGTTCCTTCAGATAGATGTTCCTGGTGCATGTTGTCTCTCTCCTCCTTTATAGTCCTCTTCCACCAATCCCAACCCGGCTACCCACACGCCGAGTACGCTGCTCTCCTCCAATCAGGAGCAGGTCCTGCTGTTTATTGGTTGAACTGGAGGCAGCTGTGTAGAAGCTGTTTCCTCCTCTCCCAGCGCCATATTGTGGGAGAGCAGATGCATAGAATAAGTCTAAATTCCAGTAACTTAGTCTAGTCCGAGTTGCTCCCAGTTGCTCCCCACATTCTCCTACTTTTATTTTTATTTATTTATTTTTTGTCTTTTGTTGTTGCGTCCTGGTGACGAGTGATGTAATCTTCCCTCTGGATAACCTTAGTACACTGAGCTCAATAGGATGTGCGCTTGCTTTGTTTCTCCAAGTCTCAGTCTGGTACGTGAATGGAGACAGCGGTGTGCTAACTGAATAGACACCAGGAGGTACTGTGGCTGTCACTGGAGCCTGGGCTGGGTTCAGGGGCCTGTGACTGTGTAGCTGAATGGAGCCCTTTGCTAGCAAGGGCCCTGTGCTGCCACTGTCATCTTGAAATCCTTCATGATGTTTAAAAAGATGTATTTATTTGGGGGAGAGAGAGAGAGAATATTTGATCTTCTGTGCCCTGGTTCACTCCTCTGACGGCTGCAGTTGCCAGGGCCGGTCTAGGCTGAAGCTGGGAGCGTGGAGCTCCATCCAGGTCTCCCACACGGGTGGCCGCAGACCAAACGCTTGGGCCATTCTCTGCTGCTTTCTCAGGCGCATTAGCAGGGATCTGGATCAGAAGTGGAGCAGTTAGAACTCGAACCGGCGCCCATCTGGGACGCTGGCATTGCAGGCTTACCTCACTGGACCTCATAATTCCTGAACGGGGGACTCTGCTGTTTCATTTTGCAATGGGCCCTGCAATGATATAGATTTATTTCAAAGACGGGGTCTTGTCCAGTTGCTTTCGTGAGCTCTGATTGTAGAATGGGGGAGAGACTGTGATACTGTGCAATTGCTGTTTCTCCCAAGTCATCAGAATAATTATGTGCTATTTCTTGCAAACAAAGTTTTTAATGAGATATAGGGAAGTGTTTGGCGTGGGGGTTAAGATGCCACTCGGGATGTCCGGGTGAAATAACACCACAGTCCAGGGTTACCCTTTTGTGCCCAATTTTGCCAGGTTTTTGGAATTTAACTCTTTGTGTCCCAGAGGCCTCATGGACCCCTAATAGTGAGTGAGGCCTGGATCCCGTCTGGAGGGGGCCTCTGTGGTGGTCCAGGTGATGAGATGTGAGCCTGCAGGTAAGTGACCCTCCCCAGTGCATTCTAGGTGTGGGGGGAGGGGAAAGGGTGCTGGCGTCCCACGGCGTCCTGGCCTACTGTTACGGCTTTCACAGGGCTTGGCGTGGGCGTGGAAACTCCAGAGTCTCCCGTGAGTGGTTATGGGGTTGAGGGTTGACAGATTAAGCACTGGGCTGCATTAGGTTGCTAGGTGCAGCCCCTTGAGCACATCCTGATGTAAGGGCTGGCCACGTGGAGGGTGCAGGAGAGCGCCCTTGTCTCTCTGCCGTCCTCCATCCCCACCGGATGCCTGATCTTCGACTGTGAACCTCCAAACCTTCTTCCCTCCCAAGTGTCCCCTCTCTGGGATTTTAATTAAGGCAACAAAAGGCAGATCTCCCTGACCCTCGGCTTCCTCTTCTGAGAAGTGACATGGCCCGGCCTGGAGGAATGTGTGAACTGGAGATGATGTGTAAGTCCATCCAGGAGACAGGACTCAGAAGGGCCAGGCCCCACCTCTTTCCCTTTCCCACCCAGGTCCAGGGTGGGGAGATCAGGGGAGGCGTCAAGGAAGAGGGGGTTTGATCTGAAGCTTGGAAGTGGACGCGGGCAGGGAGCCCCAGCAGTGGTCACTTCCCTTCCTTGGGCACCAGTGTCAGCTCTCAGTGGCCTGGGGAGCACTGGGACATGGATCCCTCTGTCACCTCCGCCCCCGTCTCCTCCAACGCAGGCCGCCCACAGGGGTGTGAGTGACTCCACCCTGCACTCAGAGGCCGACAGCCAAGACCTGCAGCTGCCTCTCCCCTGCGCCACCCGGACGGTGCCCCACTGCCCCCTGGCTCACGCCTGGGCTGAGAGCCACCGCTGCCTGCCTTGGTCAGTTCTGTCCCAGCACTGCTGGGACCAGGTGCACTTCCTCACCATCTTATCTCTCGGTGCTCATGAGGTTCTCAAAATATCTCAGTGGGACACCTTAAAAATAGTGCACACGCTGGTGAGCCAGCTCCGAAATGTCGCGCGGACCTGCCATTACCCTCCCCTGAGGACACCTCAGGATGCTGGGCCATGGAGCCAGCCCAGGTCATGGGGGCGGGGCCAGCTCTGCGGCTGTGGGAGGGCGTCCTCCCCGGGTGGGGGGCAGGGGCGTCAGTACTGGGGTGGCCAGGAATGTGGTGACCTGGGGTCCCAGAGGCCCAGGGTCCGGCACTCATGGATAAGCCACATGCAGTGAGGATAGTTATACCCCAAGCAATGGGAAAGCCAGGCTCCTCTCTTTCTTTCTTTTTAAAGATTTATTTTATTTGTTTGAAAGTGGAGACACACAGAGAGAGGGAGAGGGAGGGAGACAGAGGGGAAGGTCTCCCATCTGCTGGTTCACTCGCCGAATATCCACAATGACCAGGGCTGGACCAGGCAGAAGCCAGGAGCCTGGAACTCCATCTGCGTCTTCCACATGGGTAGTAGGGGCCCAAGCACTTGGGCCGTTCTCTGCTGTTTTCGTGGCACGTTAGCAGGGCGCTGGGCCAGGAGTGGAGCAGCCAGGACTCGAACAGGTCCTGTGACATGGGATGCTGGTATCCTGGAGGCTGCTGAGCCCACTGTGCCACAATACCAGCCCCATGCCAGACTCCTTCCTTCAATTTTCCCAATTCATTCTCAGAACAAACCCAGACAGATCTTAGCAGGGCCCCTACTGGAGGGAGTGAGGAAGGAGACCCTGAAAGCAGGGAAGGCCGGGGAGAGCTAGAGTGTGGGGCTGCCCGGTGCTGCCCATGGAGTAAAGGTGCCAGCAGGACACCAGTGCTGTGGCTTAGCTGTCAAAACTGCTGCATGTGACGCCAGCATCCCATATGGGCGTCAGTTCAAGTCCCAGCTTCTCCACTTCCAATCCAGCTCCCTGCTAATGTGCCTGGGACAGCAGTGGAAGATGGCTCAAGTGTTTGGGCCCCTGCACCCACATAGGAGACCTGGAAGAAGATCCTGACTCCTGGCTTTGGTCTGGCCCAGCCCTGGCCATTGCAGTCATTTGGGGAGTGAACCAATGGATGGAAGACCTCTCTGTCTCTCCCTGTCTCTGTAATAATGACTTTCAAATAAATAAAAATAAATCTTTGTTGATAAAGATGCCAGCAGACACCTCACTGGCTGCAGGGACATGAGGACCAGCCAGGGGAGCTGAGGCGTGCGGCCCAGTGTGCCCTGTGGCCACAGCTTCTGTCTCCAGTCATTCTCTCCCTGACCCTCCTGCTGCAGCCTGCTCTGCACACGGCCACACACCCAGTGCGAATTCCAAGTCCCTTCTGCAGCCCTGCTCTGCTGGAGCACCAGCCACACCTTCAGCTAAAGCCTCCGTGCCCACCGTCCAGCCCTCTGCCCCAGCCTCCGCCGAAACCACCCCCTCCCACCCTAGCCCAGGATCCAGGTGGGGGGTCTGTGTGTTAGAGTTAGATTAAGGGCCTGCGGGGCCACTTCCCGGCATTGCTGAGGTCTATGTGTTTTCTGTCTGTCACCGGCAGGCGTGCGGTGGAAACCACAGGGCCTCATGCATTGTCAGTGCACAGCTCCACGCGCGTGGGAAGCAGTCGTGGCCCAATAGCTGTTGTCCAGCCAATGGGGCTGAGCACGCTGGCTGAGCCCTGCTAGGGAGGGGAGCCCAGGGCAGGGTCTGCAGGGAACAGTGTGGGGAACGACATAGGGAAAATGCAGCTGAGCCCAGTCCTGCCTCCCAGGGGCCGAAGGAATTTGGAGGGCCAGAGCAAGTGTTCCCTGGGGCTTTTGTGGGAGGCAGGTGGTATATAAAGAGGACAGGGCATGGTCTGGAAAGCATAGTTGGGTTCCC